AAGGTCTCGGCGCGCGCTAATGAACGCATCGGCTCCTCCGTTGCGACTGCAACGTGAACACGCGCGTCAGCACCGGCTGAAATTCACCGGCGGATGATCGTGGGGCGTGCCAAGTCGTCGCGCGGAGGACACACGCACTCTCGTTAAAATGTAAGATGTTTTTAATTTAATAAACATGGAGTTTTCTAATTAAAATCGCATCAACGCGGCGCGAGCTCGCCGCACGGCAGGCGGCGTAATTAAAAGTTAAATGCGGCGCGCCTCGAGTCTCGGATCGAGTCGCGCGAACAAGGAGAATTGGTAATATTAATGCAAATTAGACGACACACGTCTGACCTCCCGTACGATTTTTCACGTGTGAGGTTATCTGCGCCGGGGCAGTCGCGCCGACTGGGGCAATCGTCGCGATTGATCGTTCATGCGTTCGCGGCGTTATGCGAAATATGTTAAATGATGCAAAATATATGTTGGCGTCGAGAATAAATGTGTATTGTCGAATAACTTGAAACATACAAGTGTCTGCGCGTTTACGGGAACGTTCGAGAATATCCGCACGACAAAAATTACAAATTAATGATCCACGGCAACGCTAACGTCCGACTGTCGACGAAGGTGGCGGGGGGGGCGCGGAAGCGGGGAAACTTATGAAAATCTTGGCGAGAGGAAAATTCTCAAGAGTAAGATTCTCTCTTCTCGAAGGAGAGAAGGCTGCTGGGAATTACAGAGTGCTTTGAGAGAGAAAGAGGAGAGAGCAGCGGGGCGAGAGGGGCGCGCTAGGGTAGGGGGGAGCGAACTAGGGGGAGGAGGGTGAAACAGGGGCCGGAGGACAGCGGAATAAGGAAAGGAGGAGGAAGACGGCGAACTCGAATTCGTCCTTTGAGAGGCCCGACAGCAGGCGCCAGCCGGAGGAAACGGAGTAAAATGTTCTGGAAACAACGAAGTCTTTCGCTGCCCCCCGCCTCTTCACCACCACCTCCTCACCACCTCCCCCCCTCCTCCTCCTCCTCCTCCTCCTCCTCCTCCTCCGCTGCCGCCGACGCCACCAACCCAGACAACCCTCTCGCTCGTTCCGTTACCCCGCTTTCGTAGGTACAACTCCCGCTTACATCGCCATGAAGCTCGCCCACCCTATATTTTCCGTATCTAAAATAAGTGCACCGCCAGAGAGGCAGAGAGAGAGAGAGAGAGAGAGAGAGAGCGCGGACAGAGAGGGGGCTTCAAGACGGTGTGTTCCGCCTCCTTCTTTAATTACGTTCAGCCGCCCCTCGGGCTAACGGCGGCAGCCCTAGAGAGAAGGTTACCCCCTTCGCCTTTCGGCCACCCTCCACCTTAGTCGAACTCGCGACACCCCCCGCCCATCGGCTAATTACTTCGTTTCAGCCATTCTTCCGTCGATCTCTTTCGGGGTTGAAAAACTTAATTGGACCGGCAGACACGCTCGCAGTCGCGCGTGCGTTTGTCTTCTTCTCTTCCTCTCCTTGTCATCGTTCTCACCTCCCGCTCCCTCCCCCCGCCCGACATTAGTCACCCCCTGCGTCGCGCTCCTTCGGCCTTCCTGCTTACGCGCCCGCTTACGCTAAATCAACCCTTCGAGCGCGCGACTCGACCCTCGATGTCTGCGATTTAAGATGGCACCGATAATCCAGTTACCGTCGTCGTCTCCTACTCGACAGCAGTTGGACGCATATTAAATCGATCCGATTGATTTGACTCGGCCCCAACGTTCTCGCCGGCGCGCGAGGCTGGGAACCCCGGCCGATTACAGCTGAACGGATACTTTCCGCGTGTCAAGGGCGCTCTATCTTGAGGCGAGGTGGGGAGGGGGTGAGTGATTTTCCGGCTAATCGCGGGGATCGATATTAATAACGAGACGGAAGAGGCTCGGGGAGGAGGGGGCACGCGCGCCACGTCGCGCGGAAAAGGAAGAAAAGGGAAAAGGAGCGAGCGCTCGGAAATTGGAAGGCGGTGAGCGTTTAATTAAAGACGCGCGAGCGCGTATGGTGCCACATATCTCCGCCCTTCCCCATCATCCCCCGGCGGTCCACCCGAGCGACCCGCTCTATACGTGTCGCGGCAAAGCGCTCTGTTTGCTCTCGAAATAAGCGACGGCTGATTGCCCGACATTCGCCTCGCCGGCTGGCGACGCGGCGGAGCTCGCTTCTCCTCTCGCGAGCGAGCGAAGAGTATCGCGAGATTACAAAGGTTGCGCGAGCTTGCGATAAAGCTTCGCCGAGCGGAATCCATCGAGACCGGTCCGGCCGTAGGCTCGATGTCGCAGCGATCGTTGCTACTTGTATCCCTCGTTTCCTCGGAATTCCCCGAGACAAAGACAAAGAAAATCAGTTCGGCTCGGCGGGGACGCGCGTGTCCCGTCGTAATTTCCAAGGCGCACCGCGTGCCTAATGATGATGAAACACGGGCAAATGACGAAACTATGACGTGGACGCGCGCTGCGGGAGAGGGATAATGTTGAAAGAGAGAGAGAGAGAGAGAGCGGGCCGAGAGAGGATAAAGCCGAAAGAGAGTAGGGAGACACGAGAGCAAGGCTCCGAAGGAGAACGAAGGAACAAACGAGCGAACGAACAAACGCCGGGGGAGAGAATTGATCCCCGAGCGAGACGCGCGCGGATGCTGCGGCATGTGCGAGCGAGACGGAGCGCCGTAGAGACGGAGAGAAGGAACGGGGGCAACGATAGAACCGCTCGATTGAGTCCACTGAAACAGTTTGTGTCTGCGGTCCACCGAAATTGATCCGGCAACACCGCGGCAACTGTCTCCAACACTCTCCGGCCCTCTGTGTCCTCTCTCGCGTCTCTCGCTCTTCTCTTTCGATCCCTCTTTCCCCAATTCCACCTCCATCGACAACCACCACCGCCGCCGCCACCGCCGCCGCCGCCGCCGCCGCCGCCGCCGCCGCCGCCGCCGCCGCCGCCGCCGCCGCCGCCACCGTTGCCGACGTCGTCGCCACCGCCGTCGCCGCTTCCAGCACCCGCGCCGACATCGTACCCCGCGTTTCCGCTCTGACCGTGCGGACACCTGTGGTACCTCGTTGAAGATCCTGACGATTACGAGCCGCAGGATGATCTCCCGGGATCTTGGCTCTCGATGGGATTTCACGATTATGGGGGAACTAATAGCGAGTTGTTGGTAGTAGGATGAGGGACTTGGGAAGAGGAAGAGAGGCGAAGACGGAGAGAAACAGAGAGAGGAGAGCCCGAGTCGAAATTTTGTTTCTACATTAATCCTGTAAATTCTGGCGAACTCGAAGGACCGATGAAGAATCGCGAGATGTAAGATTGTTATTGTTCTATTTCGCTGATGACAATTGGCAATCGCTGTTTCCTCCACGTTGAGTCTTGAGATAAGAGACTCGTTGCAGAATTATTTATTATTATTTAATTATCTTTCGTTATTTAATTTAATCTTTATTTTTCTTCCTAGTCAACAATTTATTTATTATATCATTTTCCGAGCAGGAAGCATATGAGAGAGATAAGCAAGTGTTAAATAATTGGATGAAGACTGATGGACGAATGGTTAAAGGAAGCAACATGTTTTTATCCTCACCTAATGTAATCTCGTTTTCTCTTCGTTCGACGTCAGAAATCTCGATAGAATTTGAAGCTCTTAAAAGAGCTGATGCAGAAGAAGCTGTAAGGCGAGATTAATAATTATGCGTTTAATGAGGCAGTGTGCACTGACTTCAAACTCGGGTTTCGCGCAATAAGTGCGTAGAGATAAACAACTCGCGGCGCGAGGAGCGTCATTAAACGTAAAAATCAACAGCCGCGATACTTGCAGCATATCCTAAGGCCGACGTTCATAATTGCAAATCACATACGATTTTGGATCGAGAGCGCGCGATTAATTACAGGTTCCGTATTCATGTGTATCGACGTTTCTTGTCGTTTGAAACGACGTAATAAGTACGGCGCAATAGATTGACCAATAAATCAGAGACTAACGCAGCTGTAATTATTCGCCGAACAACCATGAGCTACGAACGTAAATTTCGACTCGGCCGTTTTCTCATCCTCGGCGCGTCCGCGAAGAGTCCGTCAGAGACGGAAACTCGTGTATAGTAAACTCGTCAATAATCTGACGTACCTTGAAAACACACGACGCTGCCCGCGTCCCATGCCTTCGTCCTGGCTCCTTGACCCAACAGCGGCATCTTGGCCGCTTCGCCAATGGCACTGACACCAACAAACACTGACACTCGCGCAGATGCGATTCGATCGGGGTGACATACATGTGTTAAATAACGCGATGCCGACGAGAGAGCCCGAGTGGAGAATATTTGCAGGACGAAACATTTCGATTGCCCGAGAGAGGAATAATAAATAACACACCGTTATACGTATAGTCCGTGACACGTGCGCGACGCTCGCTGGCTTCGCGATTAATGAACGGCTCGGAAAAGTACGCAAGGCACGCGGATTATGTTTACTCGCCTCGAAAGGTGCGGAATGTTTTCATTGCGCGATCAATCGGCATTCGCCAGCGGGCGATTAGTGCGAGAGGGTAACGTCCTTCCCGCCGATCGCTTCGATATCTCGCGCGCCTGGTGGAAAGTGCGATGGTCGTTACTGCCGATTATTTTGGTATTCCATACTTTCTTCACTGAAGATTAGTGTTCTGCGAAATAATTCATCGCTTTCCCCTTCTTTCAGACGCTTACTCGGGTTCTCGTCGACACCGTGCTAATCGCCGCACGTTTCTCCGATCGAATCGCACGTACGCGGTTATGCGAACTCGGAGTGCACTCGGAGTGCCATGACGGGATAACCGGCAGGATGTTGGATCGAGAAGCTCCAAAGAACGAAGCATGAAAAACGTTAAGATGCGGACAGCGACATATCGCCGATACGACGATGCATCGCCGGCAAATAAGAAATACATATTTTGTACGTGTACACGCATTTCCAATACTAATGTAGAGAATAAAGAATGAAAGGACATCGTAAGGAAGTCGGATTTATCATTTCACTTTTCCCTCTATATTTATTATACACATGTAGATATTTAGACAATCGAGTACGAAACAATTCTAAAGTCTCCAAGTCCACAACACAATGTGGAACAAAAATTGCACACAGTAACCATTTATCGCATCGAGGTCGGACAGTATAGCCTTCGTAGTGTCCTTTAAGCCGATGGGATTTGTGAGTTGACGTGGAACCTGAAATCTCGACTCGGCAAAATTCACGGACACGTCATCATCCCGCCGAAAAATCTTCCGTCCGCTTCTTTCGTATTCCTTCTCCTTTTCTTTTTCACAGCCTTGACGGCGCACGTTATTCACGAACGACGACAATCACTAGAACTGACAATTCGACAGTGTCAAGTGAGATGTAGCTCTAACACCGGCAAAAAACGTCAACACGGCCGAATTCGACTAACGATCGTGGTAGGCGAGAGTTCACGGTTTTTATACCTGTCGATATCTGTCCCGAGAATAGCAATTACTCGCGTGGAATGAGTCAGAAGAGAGCAGCCGCTCATCAGGGTTCAAGTCATGGCCGCTACGTGCTAATATTAGCAATTCGGAGAAGAAGAAATATCCGAGCGATCATCAGCGAGGCCAAATTTGCCCCCGCGTGACAGCCCGCTATCGCGCGCCGCGCGCACGCGGGATGGCGAGCGTAATCTATAGAAAACTACTGAAATTATTCTCCAGGAAAGGAACAGGAGAGAGAGAGAGAGAGAGAGAGAGAGAGAGAGAGAGAGAGAGATAGAGAGAGAGGGAGGAAGAGGGACGCGGAAGGGCGGAGGGTTGGCAGGGCGTCGGGTAGACGACACGCCGGTGGCGCGCGCGGGACACGCGGGGCCGAGGGGCGGTAAGAATAAGAAGAGGTGGAAAGACACCGTTGGAAGCGGCTCTCGTTTCCAAAAGGTCGAGTTCTCGCACGTCAGTGGGCGAGGGAAGCGGGCAAGAAAGAGTCAGAGGGAGAGAAAGAGGGAGCTCGGCGAGGCAAGACGGATGGAGGTCGTAGGACCTACCTACCCCCCCGTAGGACGGTGGATGGTGGAGACGAAAGGAGAAGCCGGAGGAGGAAGAGGAGGTCGAGGTGGAGGGTAGGAGAGAAATAAAGATGGCCGCTCCCGCCTCCGGGGTCGACCCACCTACTCATCCTCCTCGCGGTAATAAAAGGAAAAAGGGGAGAAAACTGAGAAGCAGAGCTGAAGGTGGTAGGTCGGCCTGTAGGGGTGCCACGAGAACGAGGCGACGAACGAGGAGACCGGGGAACGGACGGAGGGACGGCGGGAATGAGGCGGAGGGTGGGAGGGCGGGAGGGGGGGGTGAGAACGGGGATGGGTATCCGCGGGGGAAACAGTTCTTATTGATTCAGAGGAGCCACCCTCACGGAGGAGCAAGCCTGGTGGACCCGCTCCTGGACCTCTCTCCTTCTCGCTCTGTCTCTCTTCCGCCCTTTCTCTCCCGGTCTCGCCGTCGTGCCTCTCTCTCTTTCTCTTTCATCTCTCTATCCCTCCGTCTCTCTTTCTCTCTCCCTCTCTCTCTCTCTCTCTCTCTCTCTCTCTCTCTCTCTCTCTGCGCGGGCGAACCTGGCTTCTGCGAACAAGTGCTCCTTCGCTTGCTACCCTCGACAGTCATCCGTCGTATTCTTTCCTTCGTCCCCTCTCGCTCCGTCGCACCGTGAAAGATACGCAAGTTTCGAAATCCGCTGATCGATCCACCGTCTCGCGCGCCTTCCGCGCGGATCGATTGTCTCTCGATTGTTGTGCTTGTCACGCATATTCCCTCTTCTTCTTCTTCTTCTTCTTCTTCCTCTTCTTTTTCCTTTTCTTCCTCTTCTTCCGCGACCCACAGGGTCGCGTATATTCTCGGCGGGTAATTAACACGATTCCCGTTCGCAACCTCGCCCGGTTTATATTCTTCCCAGGAGAAGAGTATCCGCTTTGCGAGATATCACTTTTTGCTCGTATATTCGTGTCACCCTTCACCCTTGCTGCCGGCGTGTTCGCGTTAACTCGCACGGGGATGCGAACGGCCGGCGGAACCCAGGGGTCAAATTGACTCCGACTTCCCGGCTCTTGTTTCGCGTAAGAGCCCGGCGTTTTACATCGGTGACCGCGGCGGGTGGAGCGATTTCAACGACTTTTTCCAGGAGCGCTCGTTTACGGCCGCCGGCCACCGGATTCCGTAACCCCCGAGATATATATATATATATATATATATATATATATATATGTCCACGCGTCGCTCGACAAGGCCAGTGATTATCATCGACCACGCTGACGCACGTTGGACGACGAAACACGCAATCGTGCGCCCGCACGATTACCTTGCAACAGTCGGAGCTGTATTACTCTTATTTATTTCCCTCGTGAATGAAACACGACGAGACTCTCTTCTCCCCTCGGTTTCGATTCTCACTACGAGCTACGATGCATTTTCTTCATTCGCTCGCGACCGATGCAAAGTATATTATCAGAATGTCATTAGATCTCGCGTCATCTTCTGTCGGACGATATTATCGGGACTCGATATTTCCCGTCGCCGGATAGACTCAATGAAAGATATTTTTATACATATATATATATATATATATATAGGTACGACTCGCCTGTGCAAATTATATTTTCTAAAACCCGAGTTTCAATTTGCAATTTCCTCCTCGTAAAACTTTGCAGTAAGTGCGTTCCATGGCATCGACGAGGTGGTGCCTTAAATTTCTCTCGACGCGATCGCGAACGTCTCTCGGAGGTAAGCAGCATCCCTGGTCACCCGTCGACGTCGGAGCGCTGTACCCGCCCCGGTGTGGGCGTTACGCGAAAGGAGAAATGCAACGTCGTAATTTTGTAGGACTTTTCCAACCTGTATTAGTAGTCGAGACTTTCTCTCTCTCTCTCTCTCTCTCTCTCTCTCTCTCTCTCGCGCTCTTTCGTTCGCTCACTCGCTCTCCCCCTTTCTTCCTTACTCCCCCTAAAACATCGCTCTTCTCTCTTCTCCTCTCACCCTCACCACCATGCCTCTTTCTCGCTCACTATCCTTCTCTCCCTCCCTCCCGCCCTCCTATCCGCCCTCCTACTCTCTCCGTCGATCTCGCTCGTTCGCTCGGCTCTCTGGGCAAATTGACTTTTCCTAATAAACCAACTCGCGAGGCAACTTTGGCGAAAATCATTTAAAACTTTGCCAGACTCGAATTCGCCTCTCGTTTTAATGCGGAGGCCCGCAGAAACCTCGCTGTGCGTGCATCCCCGGGTCTCTTTCCCTCTCGATTCGTACGAGCACTCGCCTCGGCCCCCTCCCCCGTGTCCTCCTCCTCCTTCTCCTCCTCCTGCAGCACCACCTCCCACCCTCATCACCCCCTAGACACTCGACCACCCTGTCGTTGTCACCGTTGTCTCCGTTTCCTTTTGCCGAGCTCTTTCCGCTCGCGCCTTTGCGTTCGCCCGCGCATCGTTTTCTCGTCCCGCATTCTCGGCGCCTTTACGCGCTCGTAATAGCCCGCGCGTTTAACCGCAAAGCGCCAATCCGCTGACCGCGACCGAGCAATATGTCCGGCCGAAGGGGGCAGCAAGAAGGAATCGGAAACTTGCCACGGACGAGGCGCGAACTTGTCAAAGACTCCGATGGCGAAAAGACGAGATTAAATTGGACGCGGGACGTGTACGTGTGTATGTGACGCAGAAAATGCATTCTCGCACGAGAGCGAGCAGCGCGCCCATTCATTGGAGCAGCGCGAGACGTCTGGCGAGACTGGAGCATTTAAAATGCAACAGCCATCCCCCCGGCTGGCGATGAACTCGCGAGGCTTAACGCGCGCGCCGCGAAATCGACATCGAGGCGATATCCGAAGAATATCCGAGAGCCGGAGCCGCGGCCGACCCTTTTTGCATTAAAATTGCATACAAACCTCACTTTAACAATATTTCATCCCCGTGAATAATTCAGCGGGCACTTCGCGATGGCTGCTACTCGCCGTAGCCGAGCGATCTCCCAGTCACGGGACGACGAGAGAAAGGGAAAACAAGAAGTAACGATGGAAAGACGGATGAGATCATTCTTCGCTTTCTCGCGGGCGAGCGCGTAGATTGAATTAAGCGGAGGATCGCCGATAATAATTCGATTTCACGCGCGCGGCAGAACGCGCGAGAACGTCATCCCCGTAAGAATGGTCGGTCTTCCTTCGGACGCAAAAATATCGATAAATTATTATCGCGGATCCCCGAATGCGCGATGCGACGAATCTCTAGTCTGCTATTCTTCCTCTTCTTCTTCTTCTTCTTCTTCTTCTTCTTCTTCTTCTTCTTCTTCTTCTTCTTCTACGAGCCGCGCACACGCGAAATAGAAGCCCTGTGCATAATTGACAGCGGAGATTTTCGCTGATTAATTTTCGCAATATTACTCGCTAATTCGACGTCGTCGTCGTGCGCTGTTTTATGTAGGAATGAATCCACTTTTATTCCGTTCGACCGCGGCGACAACGGGATTATCCGCGAGCGCTTCCTCCGCGGCGCGGCGCACCGTGTGAATAGATTTAGCCTGAGGGGAGGACGATTCCTCGGGAAACGACGGCCGATACATTATGAGCATAATGTAAGAACGGTAAAAATTCCCACCGCGAGAGAGAGAGAGAGAGAGAGAGAGAGAGAGAGAGTACGCCGACGTCGTCGGTTTTCAACGCCCGACGAGATTACGCCGCGAATTACGTCGCCTCGTCGACGCGAGTCGTCGGGAATCCCTCCGCTCCCCCCGCGACGCGCGACGCTGACAACGGGAGCTGGCGTTGAGAGAGAGGGGCGGGAGGGAGGGAGAGGGATTTTTTCCCGTCCGCCACGTCCGGATAATATTTGTGCGGAGTGCGCGTTACGCAAGCACTTGGCCGGCGCGCAGCGCCACTTTTTCGACGTGTATACGCGAGAAGCGGCGGCGGTTTCTCTCGGCTCTCGGCTTGTTATTCCTGGTTTATGGGTTCTCACGTCGTATAGCGCGGATGGTAGTTGCGCCGAGAGTTCGCTCACAGGATTCCGTTACTATTTATTTCATGACGCGCACCGCGGTCGTCTCGAGAACGAGGAGACGGGGGTCACCCCGGGAGCGACGCAAAATTCACAGCGCGCCGCGCTTATTCCGCGCGTAGAAGCGCGATCGCGGCCCGCTTTTTTCTTCCCCCGCGACTCGCCAAGCTCATCATCCCGCGAAGCTCTCCTCCTGCCCGTTCCTTCGCGCCGCTCTCGCTCGCTCTTCACCCTCTCTTCACCGTCAGATATAAATTAGACACGCGCGTACACCACACGTGTGCGCGCGCACGCACACGTATATACGCAGACGCACGCACGCGCGCCCGACGACTAATT